CTATATTGTAAGTTCATGAATACAATTAAGTTTATTGCAGTTCCTAAATTCATCCTTATAGTCAATTATGTTATTCCCAGATATTTGTGCAGGCTGTGTTTACATGAGAAATGTGTTTGTGTTTATGTGTGTATTCATTCATGGTTAATTCAACAAATATTAGACTTGGTCAATTTTCTTGAAAGTGTTTTGAACTCCAAGTTCCAGACTACCTTTTTCAATTTTACCCAACTTGACTTAAAACTTTTATTCAATACATTAGAATCTTTAAAGACCAAAGAATTAGTCCATATTTAGTTGTGACCATGGAATTATGTGTTAACCGTCATGTGTTAAAACACACTCACTTAGAAACAGTAAAAATTTAACTAGCCAAAGCAAGCAAGCAAAAAAAAAAAAAAAAAAGTCCATTTATTTACTAGAAAAAGTCCCATCAATAAAGAGTTCAAGACTAAATATGCTGCTACCAGTATGGCACAGAACCAACTCACTTTTAACTGTAACCCTTTTATGTATTTCTTCACAACTATAAAGTGCACACAATTTTATCTAGCCAAAAATAAATCTCTTTTTAACAAAAATGAACTTTTCTGGGGGTCTCCCTGGTGGTTAAAATCTCAGCACTATCAAGCAGCCACTGTGACCTAAGTTCCATCCCCAACTGGGGAGCTGACCCACATGGCTCAGCCGACCTCTCACGTCTCCCCCACTGCTCCCCTCAGCAGTGGATTTCAGTCAATCCATTTATTCTGGTCCCCACTTCTCTCACCCCTTGCACCTCTACCCTATATGCCCCATTCTTCTATGCAAAATAACGCTCTTACAATAAAGGAATAATTCTCTCAAAATAATGGACTATGTCTGCCTGGCAATGGTTTGTTTAATAATTAAAAAATATATGTAACATTACTTTTATAATTCAACTTTTACCAGAATTATTTTCATTTTGTTAAATGCTATTAAACTTACCTGAATAAATAAATTTAGTTAAAAAGGGAAATAAGGACTCTGAACCTGAATCCACAGTTGCTCACCCATTAGAAATTTCTGATGACTTAATTTGCTTGAAATTAAGCAAATTCCATGATCATTAAGTATATAGGAACAAATCCCTAAACTCTTTTATTATATTTAATTGCTTAATTGTCACACAAGTTATAAAAGATAGAGTATTTTATTCAAGGTGGCCTTCCACTATCTTCTCCAAGAAGAAAACTATGACAGTATTTTTCTTTTTTAAAAAAAAGTATTTCTATTGTAATACATAAAGAATGTATAAAAGGAAGCAGAAAGCTGCAGATAATTCCTGGCCATTGCATCACTTTGCCCTTGTAAAACAAAGTACAGGATAACAATGCAGTTACTTCTCTCAGCCAGTCATTGCGGCATATTGCTTTCCAATCATGTCTCCTTTGCGCCCACGGCCAGTTTCACAATGCCTGACTATTCTAAGAGGACAAACGTGATTAACTCCAACAAATGTGACAAGAAACAGAGACTTCAGAAAAGGCTTAGAACAAATTCCTGTTTATGAAGACATCGTGTCCATGCAATGAGATTGCTATGATTGCCTACTTAAATAAGTTGCTACTAGAAAAGGAGGAAAAGGAGGCCTTTTATTTAGTACAAAGGTTTCTGAGCAAATAGGATACCTTTTTCTCTAAAATATTTTAAATCTATACAGTATTTATGTCAGGAAAGATTTGGAACCAGTTTTACTAAATTAAGAACCAGAAGAAAAGGGAAAAATCTATAGTTCAAGAGTACACTGTGATCCAGTTAGGAGTAGACAAATCACTGATCCATTACTTGTCTAACTTGAAACTTGAAAATTATTTTATTATGCTCCTTTAAAAAAAAAAAAAAACAGAAAGGATTGCTATCTTATCTGTCAAATTAAGAATGCCTGGTTAGGTTAGTTTATTGAACTGTTTCTTTCACAGAGCTAGGAAAGTACTATCCTACTTTTCATAAAGGAAAAAAAAAGTAATCAACTCTCAAATTCAGAGCACCATGTTTATAAAATAGAGGAAATATTAAAAAGGAAAAAAGGCATGATTTTGCTTATATACTTGAAATGTAGCTAAATTTTAAAGATCTTATTAGAAAACTTCCTCAAGAATGACATTTGCCTGATTTTTAAATACACAAAGTTGTACTGCAACTGCATATAGGAAATACTCTCTTTAAATGTGAAATGTGACAATAACTCTGCTGACATGGTAAGTAAAAAAAAAACTACTCAATCATTTCTATTAAACATGTATCTACTTACTTATATATAGTACTTGATAAATAACAGCAAGATAAAGGATTAAAAACATGAGGTAGTCATAGTATCTTTCTTTTGTGGAAATAAAGATAAAAGCAAAGAGGCCAAGTAACAATGATTTTGGAGAACATCAGAAATAAATTCAAAATTCATTCAGAATTAGCAGTCTGGCTGTTTTCAGTAATTTCTATTAAGGCTACAGATAACCTTTGTTGGTTTAACTTGCCAACAAGTTGGGTTGGGGGGGGGGTTTATTGCTCCCTATTACACAAACAAGTATCCTGAATTATGACTAATAATATAAACAGTATTTAGACTTCTCATAAATTACTATCTAAAAATCTTTGTAAAAATACCGAGCAAGATGCTTTATTTACAATTGGAAAAACATGGAAGCAGCCCAAATGCCCAAAAGTAGATGACTGGATAAAAAAGATGTGGTACATATATACAATGGAATATTACTCAGCAACCAAAAAAGAGAAACACGTGTCTTCTGCAGCAACTTGGATGGAGCTGGAAAAGATCATGCTTAGTGAGATAAGCCAGAAAGAGAAAGAAAAATACCGGATGGCTTCACTCATAGCAGGAGTATAATGGACCAGGTGGAAAATAACAAAAATAATGAACCACCATATACCAGAGACATTTTGTGGGGGTGGAGTGGGGAATGGGATCAAAAACGGGGTGGAGGGAGAGAAATGCACGGGATTATGGTGATGGCACATGGGTGACTTGGTGATGGGAAACCCGCGGGGATTACAATTGAGATGGAAAAAAAATGTACAAAATGATGTAAAAATAAACTTTTGTAATTAAAAAAAAAAAATACCGAGCAAGATAAATAACTCAAGATTTAAAGACAAATCCTTAAATCTCAACTTACATAAAAGGTATGTTCCTGAAAACAATATAAAAATTGTTCTTTTATCCATGGAAAATGAAGTTACTTTATTTCCTTTTGAGAAGGGTATTACAACACAAATTATGATGGGATAATTAATAGTTGGATGTAGGACTGGCCTTGAGTCTATTCTTTCTACCGTAATACTACAGATAAGTCAACTTTCTTCAGAAATAAGTGGTTTGAGAAGCCTCACACATAAACCATCCTGTTCTTCCCTCCCTAGGAGGTCTGGACTGATAGGGTCTGTTTAAATGGAAAATACCAATCACACCACTGAATCAGCTGGAAATTGAGGTTAAGAAACTACCTAAAATGAAAGTATCACTTTGCAGAATCAAGTGTCCGCCATTCAATCACTTTGGTTGATCTAAACACCTAGCTAAGGATACATAACAATTAACACTTTGTGGGAGCTTTGAGAAGACAGAAAGGCAATTTTGAACTATGTCCATGCCTTGGTGAAGACTCTGGACATCATGTGGGGAGCAGCAAAAGGACCCATAGTGATTGAATAGAAGTCAAAGAAAGGAAGGTTCTGGATTAAGTGCCAAAATGGAGTCAGACAGTTTTAAAAACATTGTACTTCTGATCTAGTACTACTGAACAATGAAACATTAGGCATGCAGCTAAAGGTTATACTTGTGAAGTAGAATACCATAAATGTTAAAACAATCTATGCATAGTATGTTATATACCACTAGTGATTTGAATTCATGCAACTGTGGGCCCAACTATACATGTTAGCATATAATCATTCTGTGTGTACTAATATAAAAAAAGCAATCAGCAGCTCCTATAAAAAATGATTCAATTAAAAAACTAGTTTTATAGTAAAAAAAGGAAATCATAGCTTACTATTATTTAAGGTATGAGCATTTCTTGATTTTAGTCATTATAAGAGACTTAACAAAGCATCTAATTATCACTTACAAGAGGTAAAGTGACCTCTTGTGAGGGACCTCTTGTGAGGGAGAAGCAGTATCTATGATAGAAGCTAAATGTGTTGCTTTAGTAATACTAAAGTCATTTGAAGTATATATTTTAACCCAGAAAGTCAGATATTAAAATATTAATAAAGAAAAGAAAAATAAATAATAGGGTTTGCAAAGTATATTCTTTTCATAAAGAATGTTTCTACACAGGAATGGTGAACTGCTTGTAAAATGCCAGTAATGTACAAAGAAAGATCTAAGTTATTCACTCAGCATGTAAAAATCTACATATGATTTTCTGCCAATAATACTTTTTGGGCCCATTTTTAAAATTTGGTTTATGTCTCACAAATTTTACATCAGAAAACAAGAGCTGAAGAACAATTATCATTTTTAAATATTTCCTTCAGGCTACTTTCACAGAAAATAAACATTGCCAACATTTCTATTTCCATCAACATGTGCACTTATAAATTCATGACTTGAGAAAGGATGAAAGAGGGGATTCATAGTAGGGGCTAATGAGGAACTCTAACCTCTGAAGGCATAATTGGCTTATAATAATGCCACATGTTAAAGTATTCATGATTCTCTTCTCTGTATACAAAAATGAATGCATATTTTTAGGGAATCTAAGTAACTGACACACCTCTCAGTAAAATTGGAAAAACTTTTAAAAGCCCTTTAACTATCAACTATGCAAATTATCTTAGTTAAAACATTCTGATGGAAATACAGCATAATTTTTAATTTATAGAAGGCTAAAAATAGAAAAAATATATAGCTAAATAGGTACAGTTCTTCCTATAAAGTTGATCAATATAGTGTCCTACAAATTTGAAAATTTTAGATATGGAACACTGTTGCATAGTCTACAGAGATATATTTTCTGCTTTTTCTAAATTCTAAGGCCAATACAGCATTCCCCATACAATAATTCCCACACTGAAACCACAGAGGAGCACTGAAGTTTGTGAAAAGCATTACCTTTTAATCATGCTATTTTATGGTGGTAAGTTGCACCCTAGATACAGGGAAGATAGTGAGAAGCATGTGAATTCTTTGTACTTTCAGTTTTTTCAGGGAAAAGTGTTTTGCAAACACAAGTTCTTATGGGCTTTAGGGGGACAATGAAAAACAATTCTCAGACCCCCCCCCCCCAAAAAAAAAGAAAGAAAAAAACCAAACTCTGGTTTTTAAGATAGTTCCTACTTTTCAATAGAGGATATCAGATACTGGCATTCAACTATTCAAATTTATGTAAGAATTACAGTACTTGAAAAGAAGTACAAAAGAATTTCTTTTTTAAAACACAGGTATATAAGTTAATGAAGCTGGTATTTAAAAGATTTAATACAAGGGAAAAAAGGTGTTTTATAGTGGTACCAATTCTTAATACAAATTATTAAGCACAGATTATATAATTTTCAAAAGTTAATTCACATTATTGCTCGATACCACAGTTGTATGGAACAAGCTCTTGACAGACATTGAAATTTGTACTTCTTGTTTATAAAAACAGAAATTTACACAGTGGGCCATTCAAAAATTTAGAAAGTCTTAAACTGCATGGAGATACGTACAACCAAAAGGAGGAAGGATATTTCCACGCTGAGCTGATTTATTTATATGTCACATTTCCAACCAAGAAAAGTATATATAACTGGCTGGAAGCAAAAGTGGATAAAAAAGTACTAAATATGCTCTCCACTTTTTAATTATAAATTTCTAAATATCAATGGACTAATACACACCATTACCCTTCACTCTAGAACTTTTGCTTTCTTTCAAAAACTTTTCAGAAACATATCCATTCTATAATAGTATTAGATTGGGAGAAATACTTAGAATTTTTTAAAGGAATGATTTTCATACTACTGTATATAAGATTTGATAAACAATAAAAAATAACCCAAGTAAGGCCATCATTAATATCATCTTGATCAAAAATATACAGATAGTGATGCTACTATATTTTGTGAACCTGAGTTCTAGTTACCATTAGATGCATGCATACTATTCGTTGTTTTGCCTATTCTAAGAAAAATAATTTAATCCTGCCCTATTACCTTTGAAGACAGTAATACTCGTAAAACTTTTTGATAGGTCTTTCTAATGTTACAGATATTCTGCTGTAAACAGAGCATTAAGAAATGTATGAGAAAGGATATGTTACGTTCCAAAAAGCTATTAAAGAAATCTTACTATTTTAAAGTAATAACTAAGTTAAATTTAAAAAGAAAAATAATACAAAGTGTGTGCTTGCTAGAATAGGGAAGTAGAGGCTTATAAAGGTGTTTTTCTGTGTTAAAGAATTAATAAATAAAGGACTGTGTGTTCCTTGGTGATAAAATAAAAAAGGCTGGCCACTTTTTATGCTAAGTTCAAATGTATTTTTTTTTTATAATACAAAAAGTACTCCTTGAAAATCAGAATACATAACAGAAATGACCACAATAACTTAAGTACTAAACATCTGTATGAAATAACTGCTGCAAAGTTTGACGAAAATGCACACTTAGAACATGCGGTTATTTAAAAAAAAAAAAAAAACAGGGGAAAAAAAAAAAACCACACAAGTCTGTAGAACCAATGTTATGTCACCACCAGGAGAGCACCAAGCAAGGCACCATTGGAAAGACAACATACTTGGAAAGTCTCTATAAATAAAGTAAATGCTAATCTGGTCGAAAAATCGGTGTCTTTGGTAAAAATTCTATAAGGATGACCTGTAGGAGGAAGAAAAAAAAAGGTTTTAAAAAAATTTCAATAGATTCTTATCTTAACAAAACTTCAGTTATATTCCAACATTTACAACAATTTGGTAGTGCCTTTGACATATCTAAGAAAAATGCACGTGAGTGAAAGAGAAAAGGAGTTTAGCTAGCATTTACTAAGAATTAACCCCATGCCAGGTACTTCGTAACAGATATCCATTTCATTTCAACAATTTTTCTTTAAGGTAAATATCAGCATCCTAATTTTATAAATGAGGAAACTGATGATATGAGAAGTTTAACATCATAGACTGTGGAGTTGGTATCTGAAGAAAGACAGTCTTAACTCCAAAGCACTTTCTACAGCACTATGAGGTTGCAGCTGACCTGATTTTTATTTCCTCAGGCTTCCTTCCTTTTATCTAACCCAATTTCATGGGTCTTTATGTTCTAGATTTGCTCTCATTTTACTGAATCAGAAAGATATGTGCTCTTTAGATAAATGGTATTGGTCCTTTTTCTTAATTTTTTTAAGTCCTTTTCTTCTTAGGCTAGCAAAATTCAAGTTAAAAATTTATTCCAAAGGGCTTTTAAATAGTGAACTAAAAGGAGATCAACAAAAACAAAAGTGACACAGAAATACAAAAGTTGACCAAAATTCATTTTCATTCCCAATTTGAGCTATCTTTAATTATAATCCATTCTTTCCCTTGATCCAACTCTAGATGGAACTGATGCTGAATAAAAAATTATTTGAATAGGTTTCCAAATCTGGTGAACCACTCATTCTTTGTAGAAACTGTGCCTTAATAAAATCTCCAGGTGTGAACACTCTTCTGTTTCTCTAACTTTCACTTTCACTCTTCAGTTCTCCTGGCTTTTAATCTGCCTTGCAATAAAGGTACTTTTACACCTAGCTCTGAGACTTTCCTCTCCTTATTTAATTATCATGAATTGAATAGATAGGTCCACTTTTGCCAATCTGCTGCCTTGCTATTTACCTATAAACTATTCACAGCTTTCTACCTGGTTTCTTTGAATTATACTTGCATTTTCAGTATCTTCATCTATAAAATAAAAGGAACTGAACTAGATAGCAGGATTCTTTGCAGCTCTAAAATATGATTAAATGTTTAAACTACTTATGAATGAATAATCAGTAAATTCTTCTTTATTTCAAACAAATCCCCACTTAAGCAGTCCTTACAATTTTGATGCTTAGGTGTAACTATTACATTTTATACTACATAATACATAATGCAAAATTAAGGTTTCCTTGACTATATCTGAATAATTATGTTTTTATAAGTATACCCTACACACGCTATTTTCTACAGAAGACATACAACAACATAGAAAGTGGCCTCTAGTCTCACTTCTTGGAAATCAAACTGTTAGACCATAATTGAATAAAATTTAGTATTAAGTTGGTAGTTTTTGCAGATTGTCTGATATTCAAAATATAATCAAGAAAATATTTTTCTTTAACAAATGAAGCTTTTGTAAGTTCATAAAAGTTCAATTCATCAGCTAACATAGCATTCCCTTTTTCCTGCATTATTTGTTATCCTAGTTTTTGTATAAATTTTTAGGAAGTTTTTGAAATTATGTTTTCCCTCATTCAACTATCACAAATATATACACTCTGAAAAAAAAAGAAAAAATACTTTTGG